CAAGATGGATTCTTATAGAGAATATCCTGAGGACCTAAAGAACTTTGAAAAATCTTGCCAACAATATTTTGTCCTTGACTTCTTTATTTTTGAAAAGTGGGACAACGGTTCTTTTGGGTCCCTGGTTTTAATATAATAGCCAAAGATGAACAGATGCATATTATAATGCTCACTCGGAACGCTGGCGGGTGGAGCGCTCTAATATTTGCGAGGCAGGTTTGTTAATTTGTCGTATTTTAGTTTAGTTTTCTATAATTCGAGAGGGGCTCGGTTTTTCTTTATGATACGCCTTTAATTTCACATTTTTAATGTCTCCAAATTCTACAACCAATTCCTTCTAGACTTTTAGCAGAACTTGTTGAACATAGGTAAAGTCAATTCAACAATATCTTGTAGAGGTTCACATTCGCAAAACATTGGCATCATTTGAATGCGAATGTCGATGCAAATATTAAAAGTGATGCGAAAGCGAATGCATATATTCGTAACATCCCTACATATGTACTTATGTGTATGAAATACGTATCTACCCAACGGGACTAAAAGTGAGCTGCTCTCCAAAGGAGCAAGTAGGGAGCAATACGAAAGCAAAGTAAAAAATAAATTTTTAAATTAATTTTTAACAATACCGGCAAGTATTTTTTAAATATTTTATTTTTCGGTAATTTTTTATTAAAATATGGATAACTAGCAGACCTGGCGAACTTCGTCCCGCCTAAAATTTTTATATATTTTATTGAAACTTTTTGGTCCAACATTTTCATTAACAATTCACGTTTGCGATTTTCATTGGCACATTTGTTTGCTAAGATTAAGGTTTGCCGCTTTAAATAACCTAAGGAAAGTGTTATATCCGTTCTTGAAATTCTCCAGTTGTGCGGCATTTCATAGCACGGTTATTCGCAAAGCGAAATAAATNAATACAATTCGGTTTTTACAATAGCTAAAATTTTTCTCCAAGGGTATGCGATTGATTTCGTATATCACCATACCAATTTCCAAAACTCTACCATGCACACTTTCAGAGATATGTAGCATGAGAAATTCGGTTTGTATGGGAAGTGCCACGCCCCCTTTACATATAGATTTTTTTCAAGCCTAAAACCATCCTTGGGACACGTGCGGCAGGTGGCAGTTTCAAAAAAATCGGTTCAGCCGCTCTCGAGCCTTGCGAAAACTAACAAACGGCTTTCTAAATATATATAAGTTGAGATTTACTATATATTATAATTATATTTTGACAGGATCCGTTGTTTCTGATTGGCGCAAAAAAATCTTGCCTAGTGACGAATTCGCCCCTTGATATGGTCGTTACTTAAAACTATTTATATTCGAAATTGCATGAAAATTGGAAAACAGGAATCTATAAGCTTATCCAGACAAAAAGCTACCTACGTACCGAATTTTAAGCAAATCGGACTATAATAAGATTTTTTCGAATAGACCGGTCCCTGGTCCACTTACCCGAAAAAAAGTAAAATTTTTTTAGCCTAAAACATGGTGGTTACTGAAAGCTATTTGTATACAAAATTTCATCAAAATCGGACCAGCCGTTCGCGAGATTACCTGTTACAAAAAAAGGGACTTCTCTTTATATAATTAGTATAGATTCTCCAACAAAAAACGCCAAAAATCAGAGTTCCAAACCTTATGCAAAATTAAAGAAAATTCTGGAAATTTTCATCCAAATATTGCATTTTTTATTTAAACTCTTTAGAAAAAAGTCGAGTACGCATTTTTTTTAGCCCATTAAATTTTAGTATAACAAGTGCAAGTTTGATATAGCTAGGATTTACCATTGATTTTTAGCAATTTTTTTGTTGAAGGTGTCGCTCATTTTCTCCATATAAAATAATGTTCGATAATATTTTAATATGGAAAGCATGTGCGAAACCTTCAACAAAAAATCTAATAAAATTTTGCAGAATTTTCTTTAATTTTGCAAAAGGTTTGGAACTCTGATGTTTGGGGTTTTCGTTGTAGAATTATACATATTTTTATAAAAAATTAGCAAAAAATAAAATATTTATTAAATAGTTGCCCGTATTGTAAAGAATTCGCTGTACCTAAACTTTATTAACTGACTGCAAATATCATTTTGAGAAGTTACATAAAATGTTTTCTTTTGAAACAAAGATAATTTATGTATGTACATATGTACATATGTACAAACATGTAAATATGTATGTATGTATGTACTCATCCGTACCCGTCGGGTACCTACATATTTACGTATTACACAAGTGTNAACATGTAAATATGTATGTATGTATGGACTCATCCGTACCCGTCGGGTACCTACATATTTACGTATTACACAAGTGTGTGTTCCATTGGCAACATTAAAAACAAAGTATTCGTATTCATATGTGGACACCTGAGTTGAATATCAACCTATCTCAGCTGCAGCTTCAAAAACGCCCTATCTCAGTACGTTTTCAATACATTTTCGGCAGAGATAGGGCGTTTTCGAACCAAATTGTGAGTTACGGCGTTGTTCAATAAAATTCTGAAATATGGTGTTCTTAAAAAAATTCTGAAGTAGGGCGTGAGATAGGGCCTTTTCGAAATGGCTGCCGAAATAGGTCGATCTTCCACTAAGGTGTCGATATGTAAGTAGTGAAAATTTCATTGGCGGCAGAAATTGTTCTTAAGAAATCAATATGTATTTCATACATGTAAGTAAGTAAAGTGTATTGATGAAATGTGCATTCTGTCTGTTTTATTTATGGCGAGATTCGAGTATTCAATTGCTCGTTTGTTGGAAAAACGTCAAAAGTCAAAAATGTTTAAAAGTTTTTAGTCTGGTTATTCCCATGAACAAAAATAAATAAAAAGTTACTAGTGTAATAGTGGAATTTAATTTACTTCTTAAGGCTGATTGTTTTCAGTTATTTATTAAATGCCTTGTTGAAGTCTGCACAAAGTTATGAACAAGTGGAAAATAAGAGAATGTCTGACGGCCATTTCGGCATACTTAGCACAAAAACAATATTTAACAGTTGACAGCCTCGACTTTTTTCTTTCGCCGATACAAAATCGACAAAGAAGTGAGTACGGGGCAATAATAAAAATAATAAAAATTGAGATAAGGGAAATATTGATATAGGCTGTTTCAAAGTAAATTATAATTCCAATGGTCTCTCCGACTTTTTTTTTTTGTTTTTGACATCTTGGCTTTTTTACATTTTCTTCGGCACTTCTTAAAGTTTAAATTAAAATCATATCACTTTGTGTACTACGTTAAGCACATAATAAAGTATACGCAATTAACATTTATTAAATGATTAAAATAAATTCACAGATATTTCAAACTTTAAATTTGATTACGGACAGAATTTATATAAAATCCCACACATATATACATACGTATGTTACACGAGTAGAATTTCAGTAAGTTAATTTTCAGAGAGAGCCACTTTGAAAATTGCAATATTTAAGTTGTTTTATCGAAAGTTCTTTAAGAATATTATACTCAGAAATTTAAGCAAATCGTATCTGAATGTTTATGTAAATATGTACATGCATACATATGTACCAAATATGCGTAAAGTATGCGTAAGTATAAATGTGTAAATCTCTGACTTATTGAATATTGCGAATAGGAGTGCATTATTTCTAGTGTTTTCCAACTTTTAAGACTGAAAGCCAAAACGTCGTAATTTATCTTAGAGCCAGATATGTTTTTACTTTAGGTTGTGCCATTTGAAATCTCATATGATAGGTTAATTTTATTTAATATTGACAATACTGATTTTCGTAGTCTATTATTTTGTTAACGTTATTTAAACGATCAACGAAGAAAACAATTCGTCAACGTTGTAACAGTGTTGCACCGGTTAGCTCATATACTGGAAATTTGCACAGGTACTAGTTAAAAGCGTTGTTAAAAATATTTTTTTAATTTCCATCGGTTCCTTAAAAATTCCTAAAAAAAATTGGGATTTCTCTTGTTGTAAAAACTCAGCTAAATAAAAGAAACGTTTGCACACTGCCAGGGCTATATTGGGAGTTTATTCGACAAAAAAGAGCCTGCGCGTATTTTACTATTAATTTATCAAATCAAAACCATACATCGGTTGATGTATAGAAGAAGGTACATCATTATATCAGAAATTTCTGATCACCTGGATTGTTTTTGCCGCACTAATTCGAAGAATCTGAGATAGCCAAGAAATACTACAAACTCTCTCAAGAGAGAACGAGGGAGAGGGCTACTTCACTAGCAAGTACTGAAAAGAATCAAGGAATTGGTTGATTTGCACATTGGTATTAAACAAATAACAGAAGTTGAGCATTTATCATTTCGCTAGTGGATTTTCCTCAACACAATATTATATGTAATCTTAGCTGGATTGAAAGTAGATTAATGTTTTTAATAGTTTAGCAATATACTGATTTATCGATAAGTTCGTCTTTGATGTAATTCAAGAAGGGCCCTGCAAGTAAATGCGCTAACCATGAACATGAAAATTTACAGCTTTTGAATCTAAAGATAAATATTAAAAATTATTGACTATTGTGACAAGAAATAAGCAAGAACTAACTTTATTTTTATAAAAACCATAGGCCAATATATTAATTAAATTTTTTTAAAAGGTCTTTGCATAACTAAAGTTTTACAAAAGTTTATGACAAAAAGTTTACTTTTTTCAACTTCTTAAAAATGATTAGCTGTCTCAGTTGAAGAATCAAAAAGGCTTTTAAGTTTGAAAACATTATGTCAACAACTCCAAAACGTACAACCGCGTATACTTGTATGTATATAGTATAAATGTATATATGTACACTTTTTTACATTAACTGTAATCATACTTGATTTTCTATAAAAGAAGAGTTGTGACAAAAAATGCGTAGAAGCGCGTACATATACATATATAATGTTATATATACTGTTTACAGATATTAAGAGATTGGTGAGATAGTAGTGTTGTCGCAAACAAAAATCGCAAACAAATCCAAAAACGTATTATACAACTTGAAAAGATAGAAATTATTACCTTTCACACTGTCGCAAGGTCCATGAAGCAATTATCCACAAGGATACCATGAAAACGAGTAGCACCGTTCCAGGACATATTGTCATTAAGGTTTTCAAAACAAATCTGAAAGATAGATTTAGAAACAAATCTGAAAGACACATTTTATGAATATATAAACATAAGAATCTATGTAGAAGAAAACGCCACAATACTTTTCCAGGCGGAAAATCGGTTTGTCCTTCACTGACTAGAACAATTCAACTACATGGACGCCGAGTTTTCCATTAGTGTACAATATGATTTTTTCGCTGCCCGCCCATTTTCAGGCATATTAAGTGTTAAAAATAAGATCTGCATCAAAAAATCATTTTCCATAATCGAAAAAAGTCATGCTAGATTGAATTTAAGAAGGTAAAAGATAGTCTGAAAACAATCCAATTAATTATCGTTCTGTTACTCCGCAACTGACAATTTAAGGCGATTAGTGTAAAGTAGTGAACGCGCCTGACGTTAAAACGCCCAAAATTGAATTTCAAAACCCTAAAAAATATTCTTAATATTAGTCACAGTTATAAGCGATCCGAGTGCCATATTTCATCAAAACCCGTCCAACCGTTTCTGAGTGAAGAGAGGTCTCGAATAGTCCAGGTTTTTAATTTCATTAAATTTCAGATAAAAAAGTTCATCATTAAAAAAATAACTTTAACTTTATCGCACATCTATGTACAGACAAAGATCATTAATTTGACTTCACATTTTGGAAATTCGGAGGAACGGTGCAAATCTGATTACTGTTACAAAAATGCCTTCACGTATAATCTACATATCTATGGTGATAAGCAATAATCCCCTAAGTCGATTTAAGAAAGAATTTAGTTATATATGCTATCGTATTCTGCAACTACTATTCCATATATATGTGAATCTCAATCTCGCCAGCTAGGCTATTTAAAAAGTTATAGACGAACATATTTTGGTTTCCCCATAAGGTTAACATTACAATCCTAATGTTTAAAACGTTTTTTCTCGAATTCAGGTTTTTCGACTTAGGCGGTTATTGCCTATGACCACAGATATATGCTTATTTAGATCGATATGACTTTTCGAAAAGGTAGCCAGCCTAACCAAAGATACTAGAGTGCCAGTTACTGTCGAAATTCGACAGTTTTTCTAGTTTTAGAACCTTGCAGAGGTTTTCTAACTTAACACGTAGCAAAACTTATACGATACAAATTAACTAACCGGAAAATCTGCTAAAACGTAACTAAAGTTTTTTTTTATCTGAGAAGGTCTTTGGAGGACTTCGGCAGGACTTCGAATTGACCCGATACATTCAAGTTTATCGATAAATTTCAATGATTTGATACATATCGAAAGTTCGATGAATTTCAAGAACACTAAAATTCGATAACTCAACAAAATTCGTTAACTCGACCAATTTCGATAACTGTGAAATTCGATGGCTCGATAAATTTCGATAACTCAAAAATGTAAAAACTTTGGATGCCTTTATAAATTTTTACTTTTGACATCTCCACATTTTTCGAAAACTATCTAAACATTTTGATAACTCGTTACACTTTGTTAAGGCGATTAAATTCGATAAGCAGTGATATGTCGATAAGCTTATATAACCTTAAAATCTCGATAAATCGATATATTTTGAAAATTCCATAAACTTCGATTCGTTGAACCAACCAATTTCAGTAGATCAATAATTATCGATAACTCTGTAAGTTGAAAGAACTCCATGCATTACGACACCTCGATAAATTTCGTTAAGTCTATAAATAATGATAATTCAATAAATATCGATAACTTGATACATTTCTTTAACTTGACAAATTTCGTTAATCCCACACGTTTTTATAGCTCGATAACTATCCATAAATTTGGACCAGTAAGTTTCTGTATATATAAATTTCGACAACTCAGTAAACATTGATCAGTTGGAATAATTCGATA